AGTCTCTGTGGTGGACAGAAAAAAGAAAAGCAGCTGTGCCTCTAATCCCAGCAATTGTGCAGATGTGGGGCCGTGAGTTCAACACCAGCCTGGCTTTTGTACTTACAAGGACGACAAAGGATGCATCATTTCATGTCGTTACCCACTGTTTTTTTGTTATTAGTGTTTTTAAAACTAACTCACTATTCACTTCTCCTAAGTACGGAAACACTATCAGGCAAAGCAGGAATGTGCACATGGATCCATTCTTAATCCAACAGTAGGCAAATATGCCTTGTTTGCATTCCATTATTCTAAAAAATTTCCATATAGTTCCTAAAATGTCAAAGCATGGGATAAAGTTCATCAGAGACCACCAGCCCCGTAATCTGGAGGGCAGATGTCAAAATAGATGTCGCTGTGGTTCACACTTCTGCCAAAGCCTGGTGACTCCACGACCTGTTTACTAAAGGAGATTCACTTACCTCCTATTATTTGATTGTTTTTTGTTTTTAGACAGGATCTCAATATGTAGCCCTGGCTGTCCTAAAACTCACTAAGTAGATAGGGGCTGGGTTTGAACTACCAACAGATCCAACTGCCTCTGCCTCCCTGAGTGCTGAGGTCAAGGGCGTGTACCACCACGCCTGGCAAATAGATCTGTAATCCAAGCTACTAAAAAGTATGAAGGATTACAAGTTCAAGGCCAGCCTGGCCTACAGAGTGAGCTCATGGCAGGCCCTGACAACCTAGGAAAGGCTGTCTCAGAATTTAAAAACATTTAAAGAAATCTATAGCTGTAGCTTAGTGAGTGCTTACCTGGAGGGTACCTGTGGTGCTGGGGAGGACCTTGCCTAACAGGTTCCTACAGTATTCAAGAGAGTACTGGAAAAGGAATTTGAACTGAGTCCCCAAAGATGTGACTATTTGGGTAGGTAAAGCTGGGTGTGGACATGAGGGGTAGGATAGGGAATGAGCCCAGGACGCCAGCACAGTTCAGAGTGTGTCTGTCACAAGTGCAATGGTGTGTGAAACAGCCGTGTGTGTGAGTGGGGTGCCCACGTCTGGAGGCCTTGGGCTAAGTGCTGTTAGAAGTAAAGACCACCACCAGAAAATGAGTCACAGGGCAAGTGATGCTGTCCACACTGTGTGGTGCTGGGCCCAGGACTCCATTAGTCTTGATTTTAGGACATTTTAAGGCTCTGTGACTCTGGACAGATGACTCATTCTCTGGCCTTTGGGAACAATTACAAAATGAAAGAGTTTGGCGATAAGCATCCAACTACTTATTCAGTAACACTAACATAGTTGTTGGTTGGAACTAAGGTACTGCACTGGGCCCAAAAGACCACCACCAAAATAAATAAATAAATTAAATTAAATAAAAAACGGAGCCGGGTGGTGGTGGCATATGCCTTTAATCTCAGCACTCTGGAGGCAGAGGCAGGAGGATTTAAGTGAGTTTGAGGCCAGCCTGGTCTACAAAGCGAGTTTCAGGACAGCCAGGACTGTTAAACAGAGAAACCCTGTCTCCAAAAACCAAAAATCAACAACAAAAAAAAAAAAAAAAAGAAAAAGAAAGAAAAAAATGGAGTTGGTTATGAACTTACCTGTCACTAAGCAAAACCTAACTTATTCATCAGACCTTAGGAGTCATGAGGAAGAGAACCAGCAAAAACCTCAAAAAGCCACTTCAAAGGCAGTAACTGAGCCAAGCATGTAATTACACATGCCTGTAATCTCAGCCCTCAGAAGCTGAGACAGGATGGCTCATGTGAGGCCAGCCTGGGCTACAAAGCCAAAGGCAGAAACAGACAGGGAAGGAAGAAATGATGAGGCAGGACGAGTCTCTTCTCCGATTTGCTCTGCCCACTCACGGGAAGGAGGGCTCATTTTGCTGTCTAGAGTAAGACGCTGCCCAATTCCAGGTGGCAAGTAAAAGCCAACTCAAGAGTACTGAGGGCAGGCAGGTACAGGAGCTTGCCCCGGGGCCTGATGACAGTGTTCGACTCCCCCAGGCTCCATTTGGTGGAAGGAGAAAACCTGCAGCAAGCTGTCTTCTGACTTCTCCATGGACACACACAAAATAAATAAATAATAAATGCAATTTTTAAAGGCAAGAGCATCGGGCTGGAGAGATGGCTCAGCAGATAAGCGCATTCGCTGCTCTTGCTGAGAACCCAAGCGGTTCCCGACACCCTCCTGGCGGCTCCCAGCCCTCAGTGAACTACAACTTCAGGGGATCCATCGCCCCCTGCCGGCCTCCACGGGCTCTGCACGCGAGGTTCACATACACACATGCGAACGCTCATGCACCTAGTAATAATCGGAAAAATTTTCAAACAAGTCCGCTAAACAAGTGGTTCGTGGTTTGTCTTCGGACAGACCCTTCTGCCCTGCCGCGGTCCTATGGAGGCGGGTGCTGTGAGGTCCCCCGGGAGAACTGCGCTGAGTGACCTTGGGCAAGTCACCACCGTCCCCGGCACCGCTACCGTGGCAGGCCCAAGCGGCTCCCGCCCCCGCCCCGCTGCCCTTGTCCCGGGTGCAGACGCGCGTGTCCCGCCCGACCGCCGCGGGGCCGCTCACCCGGGCGTGCACTGTCCCCATGGTTCCCTCTTCGGCTGCTGCCCCGCGGAGGTGCCCGCGCCCACCCTAGCTCGGCTACAGACTCAGACGCGCGGCTACAGGTCACGGCAGCGGCGCGCGGATCACCGCCATGTTGCACAGCCTAGGGCCCGCCCCCCCGGCTCAGGACCCTCCGCTCATTGGTCCAAATGTGACAGTGACCCGGATGTTGTTCCCAAGAACGCCGGGAAGCCCGGGTGCGAGCGTAGAGCGTGTAGTAAAAGCTCGGAAAGCTGCTGATCTGGGCGGAGCGGATGCACGGGCGGGTTCCGGGGGCTGCACCCGTCTTGGACGCCAAAGCCTGACCCTCGTTCCCTGGTGGTTTACACCGGTCTAGTCATTGGAGCCTCGTTTTCACGTCTAAGGCGTGACCTAAGGGCGAAAGGGACGAGAGACGAGTGTATGCTCCTGGAACGGGGCATCGAGCGTGGCTCGGGTCAACACCGCAACACCTTCGCCGGGATCCAGTAAAAAAGGGTGAGTGTGGGGGGTGGGGTCGTTCCTCGAGCGGGTTCAGTAGGTAAAAGGCACTTTGCCGCCAAGCCTGACAGCCTCAGTTCAATCCCTCAGACCCACGTGGCGAAAGAAGCGAACAAACTCCAGAAGTTGTAATCTTGAGGCGATCTCCACACATAAAATAAAAGAGTCAATAAAGATCCCCGTCGCAGGCTCCCCAGAAGCATGTGTTTGTTTTTACTTTATCTTTCAATTAAAATATATTTCCCCCCGATCTTTTTTTTTTTTTTTTTTTTAGTTTAAATTTCTTTTAAATTTAAATTTTCCGGTTTTCCTTTAACAGAATAAGAATCGTTTTTTTTTTTTTTTTCCCCCTTGAGACAGGGTTTCTCTGTTGTAGCCTTGGCTGCCTTGTGTCCTGGAACTCACTCTGTAGACCAGGCTGGCCTCGTACTCAGAGATCCTCCTGTGCCTCTGCCTCCTGAGTGTTGGGATTAAAGGCGTCCACCACCACTACCCTGCCAGATTCATATTTTTAAAAAGGTGAGTGGAGCCCATCCGTTGAAGGCAGTGAGTGACATTAGACAACTGTGAGCTGTCTGTGAGTATTATTGAATACTGGCCAGGACTATAGACACTGGCCAGGACCATACCGTGTTCCTAGACTATGGCACCAAATTGCATTAGACAGAAGCCAATAAAGGCAAACCCCACAAGGCTATATACTTCCTGCCTTCATCCAATCCAATGGCAAGCATACATCCTGACGTACTTCTTGCCTACGTACCTCTCATCTTCCTACATGTGATCAAGGCCTCCTGTTCAGTTGGGGCAACTAAGCCTGTTTACAGAAGCGGAAACATGTGGCTTGTTATCTTACATGGAAAACAGCCCCAGCATTCCAGGAAGTTATCTGTCCTTGGAAAAGTAGGGCTTACAGGTTAGAAGCATTTTTGTTTTATAGATCTCTTAAGGACGGTAATTTAAACTTAAAACATAACTTTAGCCCTCACATGTCCTCCCCCGATAGATTATTAAAAAGCAGCTGTAAGCCTGGCAGATGAATCTCTGAGTTCGAGGCTAGCCTGGTGTACAGCGTGAGCTCCAAGACAGCCAGGGATACACAGAGAAACCCTGTCCCAAAACAACAACAACAACAACAACAAAAAAAAAATAGCAGCTGTAGATAGAAGGCAGAAAGAGAGGTTTGGTCTGACCCTAGGCAGGACCATGTTTATTCACAAGGAGAGAGTATTTTGTCACCTATGTGTTTGGATGGCCAGGATGGCCACATGGGGAAATGGAATGCAGCTCCTTACAGTTGTAGTCCACAAGGGAAGCTGGGAACTGTAGTCCTTCACCAGGAAACTATCACTCCCATGCCCCCTTATTCTTGGATCTTAGAACAGAGTCTGGCTCAGTAAATAAGTCTATGGTATCATGATTACATTGAGGTAAACTGAGGGTGACTCACTTGAGCACTCTGCCCATGATCCAAGCTTTTGTTCAGGTTGTTCCTGGCTGTGCCCCCTGGGAGTGTTCATATAATTTTCAAGGCTTTCACACTAGCTTCATCTGTGGCCTAAGAGTGTCATACTCATCCAGCCCTTTGTCACCATGGTCCTTTCCCAGTGGTTACTAAAAAACACACATTCTAGGCTGGGGTGGTGGTGGTGTGTGTGTGTGTGTGTGTGTGTGTGTGTGTGTGTGTGTGTGAACATGGCACTGGGAAGCCTGCTGCAGGAGAATGGAGGGTTCCAGGTGAGCCTGGGCCACGGAGTTCTAGACCAGCCTGGGCTATATAGCAACACGCCAGTCATATTTTGCAGTGTGGAGAACATCTAGCATGCAGGCCTAGAGGAGAGGACACAAACCTATAGAGGAAGCTGCCCCACAGGCCCTTTTAACTGTAGGAGGAGAGAGACAGAAGAGACTGAAGGTACATTTTTAAAACATCATATTTATTTATTTTTTCACATTGATTATGAACCCTTTTCCCTTAACAGTTGTGGGTATTTTTGGTGTATCCACACTTGTTTTTAACAAATGAATGAGCTTTGCTACCTGCTTAGCAGGTCAAGACATTGCTCCCCGATGGTAACTTTTCCACTCTGGGTGTTCCTGACAGTGCAGGGCTCCAAACCAGCAGGAATTTTATTTGCTAGGGTGGCAGGAATATTCTCTGCTGCTGATAAACTTCCAGAAAGGGGAAGCTCAAGGCAGGGCAAAGGAAGCTCCTGCTGTTTTTGGTTTGTTTGTTTTTTTGTTTTTGTTTGTTTTTTGTCTTTTTGAGGCAGGGTCTCACTTAGCCAAGGCTGACCTCTAACTGCCAAGGATGACCTTGAACCTCTGATCCTCTTGCTCTTCAGCTGGAGTGCTGGGATATGTCTGCCTGTCACACCACAGCTTATGTGGCGCTGAGACTGGACTCACAGCGTCATGCATGCTAGACAAGCATTCTGCCAGTTAAGCTACGTTCCCATTCCCACTTTGTCTTCTTTCCACGGTCTTTCTTCTGGGTAGCCTAGAGCTAAGCTTTACCTCGGAACCACATTCTCTCCCCTAGAGTCGTCCCCTGTCCAATCAGGATCAACCCTGCTGAGAGTATGTGCACCAGGGTGTGATGATTGTGTGAACCTAGGGTTCACTAGGACTCCAGGAAACTCCAACATGGGAGACATATACCTTCACTGCCAATGCTCAGGAGTATGAGCAGGTCCTTGTTTCAAGCTTTTTTTTGTTTGTTTGTTTTTATGTTCTAATCTCATAAGTGAATTGCAGGAAACACATCACACCCGCAGCATACATACACCTGAGAAAAGTGGATGCCTATCCCCATTAAGGCTGGTGGAGTAGACGGGAGAGGCAGTGATGGTTGGTGACAGTACAAAGATCTGGAAACAGTGGAGAAAGCAAGCCAGGCTGAGGATGCAGAGGCAGAGGTCCACTGTGCTTCCTGCCTGGGTTGTTTTCCCCCACATACAAGAGATGTTATTTTAAGGCTAATTCTCTTCACAGCTCACTGATCATATGTGTGTTTATATAAAGTTCTTTTTTTTTTTTTAAGATTTATGTATTTATTGTATATATAGTGTTCTGCCTGCATGTATGCCTGCAGGCCAGAAGAGGGCACCAGATCTCATTATAGATGGTTGTGAGCCACTATGTGGATACAGAGAGTTGAACTCAGGACTTCTGAAAGAACAGCCAGCGCTCTTAATCTCTGAGCCATCTCTCCAGCCCTATATAAAATTCTTTATAAACTATTTTAGTAAGAGCCAATGGTGTCCCTGAATGTATTAAGTTAGCTTATATTACTTCTCAGAGACAGCCACATCCCATCCCATTATACTTCTCCAACAATTTTCCTTATGAGATCGCCCAGTTTGGATTCCTGTTTCCAAACACTGCTGCCCTTGCTTGGCATCCCAGATCATTCACAGGCTGAGAGACAGTGGAGCCTCCTCTCTTGGTGAGCTCTCAAGCACCAGACTTCACCCAGACCAAAAGTGGCTTTCTGAAAACCAAATCATTGCCTTTGATTTCTATAAACTACCAATTTAGCCCAGATCCTGTCATCCTGGGGTCAGAGGCATGAGGTCACCACACAGCACCCAGGGGCTCAACTCCTCCAGAGTAATTTCCTAGACACCTCCACAAGTCACAGAACCCTTTCTACTGTATAATAGAGAGTATAACAACCCCACCCACCCTCCCACCATCCAGACACCATTGCTCCAGCTGCAGGTCAAGCTGGGCTTCGGGGTGGAAGGCAAGATGGCCTCAGCTTTGGCCCCTCCTGGACCATCCCCAGGGGGAATGTACAAGTTCATAGGAAGCAGAGAGACCAGCAATTTACAAGCCGGCAGAGCTGCACCGGGGTTTGTGTAGCGATGAGTGGTGTCCATGCTTGGGTATTCCATGGTCACTCTTGGGTGCTTGGGATCTGAATGGAAAAGAAGGAAGGAAGGTTGGAGGCCCTTCCCAAGGCTCTGGGTCTCCAGTACTGTAGGAATCTGGTGAGAACCCAGTCTCTGCTCAGGTCTCGCAGATCTTCACAGGAACCTCCTGGGACACTGAATCCTTGCTTGCTGGGGCGCAGTATTCCACCAGAGAAGTGCGTCTACAACATCAAAGGGGTGTCACATCCTGCTCTCCACCTGCTTCCCTGCCTCCTGCCTGGGAGTCAAAGAGCCTGGCTGCAGACTCTTGCTGTGGCCCTCCCTCAGCCTCAGAAGATCTAAGAGGGGTTCCCTCCTCTGCCACGTGGGCTCAGAGGCTCTCCAAAGACCCCACCATGCTGTCTGTCTCTGGTGCTGGGCCTGAACTGCCTGAAAGTCCCCACCACACTGCTGCCCCCGTCCATCTGTCTGTCCGTGGCATTCATAACTCTTCTAATAGACACCTTATTCCCTATCTCGGTGTCCTCTTGAACCCCCACCCCAAACCTACCAGGTACAGGGAGGATGGTGCCAGGCATCGAACCACCATCACATACTTGGTCACTGCAGGGGGCCCAGAGCCACAGCTTCTTCCTGCCTTCAGTGCTGAGGTGACAGTCCCCATCCCCTAAGCCTGTGGCCTTCTCCACTGTCTGAACATCCCCTGTGGATATCCACAGCTTCACCGATTAACAAGTCCTCAGCTGGACCATGGGCTTCCTTCGCAGGAGCATGCCGTCCCATCAAGGTGCCCCTCCTGGACCCACTTCCCACAAGTCACTGGGACTGCCCCCCTCTTCAAGCTGCCCAGGGGTCCTGCCCACAGGCACAACAATGCTGCTCAGTACCTTGATCCCCTCTGTCCCCTGAGCCCACAGCTCCTCCTCTCTGCCTCCACTCTGTCATTCCTCTCCCTTCACAGCCTAGGTGAAGGACCCCCAGGGCAGCAGATGTCCTGGGGTGTCTATCTGGTAGAGTCAGGGCCTCCCTCAAGATGCGCCCTGCACAGAAGGGCAAACTCCTTATCACCAAGTCAGGTGTTCCTGGAATGTTGCATGTGGCCTGGGCATAAACCCTGTAGTGGTTCTGACAGGAGAGAAGCATCCTGAAGGGACAACGGTGCGCCTCCCTTCGGCTCTCAGACCTTTGAAACAACGAAGGCCAAGGAATTGGGATTTCCCCAGGAGTCTCCTGCTGAGGAGAGGAGGCCAGAATCTTGGAGGAGAGCCTGGAGCCGGGACAACGGTGGACAGGACCACACTATGACTAGGACTGCTTAGCATACCTCTATTTAAACTTTAATCTCCTGTCAGTACTCCAAAGGTTAACTTTGGGTGGGTGGGTGGGTGGGTGGGGTCCCTGAACCTTTTTATTTATGAATAAATCTCCTTTCTCTGCTTTTCACTGTTACTCTAATTGTCCTGTTGGGGACAGGTGGCTGAGCTTGGCTTGTTAGGGCTGTCACGACCCAAGCCCTGGGAACAACAGGGATGCCCATCTGGCCCACATACCCTGGGCCAAATTATTTACCTGGCTGAGGGGAGCAGGCACATGGTCACTCGGGCACACACCTGGGACGTTGCCCACTGCAGCCACTGGATATCATCAGGGATGTCAGGGAGCCACGTCACTAACCTGTGGGAAGGAAGCCAAGGACACCACCGTGCATATACTATACATATAAACACACAAGCACATATCACACACACACACACACACACACACACACACACACACACGGGTTTACTGTATCAGTCTGAAGATAAACCAGAAGAAAAGTCAATAAAAAGCAGCCATCTCCCAAGGGTAGCCTTCATCCACAGGAACTGCCACTGTCACGTCTAACCCCGATCTGATAAGCTCCTTAAGGCGGATCTGGCTGCCATCACATCAGTGAACCTTCTAAAATCCATAAAGCAAACCAGGCCACTCAGGCTTCCAAAAAAACTCCTGGGAATAAATGCCGAAGGCTTCAGCTCAGTGGGGTCAGTCAACCTAATTTCTCAAGGGCTGATGGCAAGTGCTGGCTGAGGCCTAGGCTCTCCACGGAGGCCAGCTGTTCGTGGACACCATGAACCCAATGATAGTACCATGGGGGCCAAAAACATCCGTAGGCTCTGGCAAGAGGCAGGTTGCCGGTGAGTGCCAACCCAGAGCAGGAGGCCCATTCTACAGGGGGTCACTGGATCATTAAAGCTGCCCAGGGATTTTGATGGAGAAATTGGAGGTTGGGCTGCTGTAGGGTGCTAAAATGGAAATGCAGGGGATGCACACAAGACTCTAGCTTGCTGCATGTCCTACCCAGAGGTGTGTGAGCAGACCTACCCAAATGGCAGGTTTGCCGTGGAGCAGATAGAGAAGAAGCACAGAGGCAGACCTGGGTTCCATTTATTTCTTTTCACACAGGGTCTCGTTTTTCTTGTCAGGCTGGCCTAGACCTCCTGGGCTTTTTAGCTTCCCAAGCAGCTGGGCTGTAATTGGGAGCGGCTGACTGGGCTAAGAGATTCTGTAGCCTCAGCCAGAAGGGGAGGGAGCCAGACATTGCTGAGGACCAGTACAACTGTAAAACTTGGTGGCATATCCAAGCATCTAGGAAAGACAAGGAGAGACCTGCCTCCTGCCGTAGTGGGCTGGGTCAGCATTAGTCACTGCCTGGGAGCTGTGCTGGTGACCATAAAATAACATAAGTGGGGTGCAAATGGGGAGGTGAATCATGCCTGACATCCTGAATGCACATGAGAGGTTGAGGCAGAAGGCTGACTTGAGTTTAAGGTCAGTCTGGTCTACACAGGAAGTTCCAGGCTAGCTTGGGCTTCGGAGTTAAAATTCTGGCTCAAAAGTTTGTACACACGGGGCAGAGAGATGGTTCACAGGGTGAAGATGCTTTGGGCCATGTCTGACACCTTGAGTTTGATTTCCAGGACCCACACAATGGGAGGAGAGAACCAACTTTGGAAAGTTATCCTCTGACCTCCACACACAGGCTATGGCCCTCATGAGTGTTTGCACAGATGCGCGTACATGCACACTCACACAAAATCAATAATAATAATAATAATAATAATAATAATAATAAATTATATCAATTAATAATAATATTAATAATAATAAAAATAAATGTAAAAATACCCCCAACATACGGACACCCCCACCCCCACATACACTCCCACTTATACAGACATACCCCTCCACACCCCTCCCCCAACACACACACACACACACACACACACACACACACACACACACACACACACACATACACACACGAAGAGAATGCTCACATAAAAGAACAGGAAGGAAGGACCAGTCAGTTTAGAAGTTGACTTATGCTGCTAATGTTAAAACCAGAGAGAATGCTGGGCAGTGGTGGTGGTGCACACCTTTAATCCCAGCACTCAGGAGGCAGAAAAAGGTGGATCTCTGATTTCAAGGCCAGCCTGGTCTGCACAGAGAAACCCTGTCTTGAAAACCAAAACCAAACCAACTAAACAAAAATAACCCGAAGAATGGGACTGGAAGGCAAATCTGAGGAGACTTCAGATTGGAGGCAAAAAGTCAAAGGTCTGAAAAATGCAGAAAAGAGAAAGTTCCTGAGCCCGGAATCCAACCCAGAGACAAGGCTTTCACAAGAGCCCCAGGAAAAGGGGAGGAATGGCCATGGAAAAGAAAGAACTACAGACATAATTACAGAAAGTCCAGTCCCCAAACCGCAGGAGAGCCAGGCTTTGACTGAGAAAGTGCCAGTCGGTAGAATGAAAGACTAGCCCAGAAGGGCCAGAAATACAAAGCCACCAGCCACAGAGGAGGAGAACCAGGTGGACGTGGACTCCTCATGAGTAATCCCGTGAGAGCCTGGCTTGGGGCTCAAGAGGACAGACTGTGGGCTGCAGGTCTTGGAGCAGCTGCCCAGCAGTCAGATGTAAAAAACAGCGGAGGCTCCAGGGAGGCCAGCAGAAGTTTCCCTAGGGAATTGGTGTGGCTCCGCTTCGGCAAAACAATCGAGAACACCCGGAAAAAGACAGGGCCCAGCCGGGGTGGCACACACCTTTAATCCTAGCACTCAGGAGGCAGAGGCAAGAGGAGCTCTGAGTTCGAGGACAGCCTGGTCTACAGAGTGAGTTCTAGGACATGGAAGGGCAGGGCTGTGTGGTGGCCATGGGGCACCAGTCCAGATGAGACAAGGACACCAGGAGAGGGCCAAGGCAAATGGCACAGCCAGGACTTCCAGATGATGCCTCTCTCCCTCTCAGCCTCCATCTCTCTCCTCACCTCCTCTCTCTCCCTCTCCCCACTCCCCCTTCCTTGTGGTACTGGGACTGAGGCATTGAACCATGGTAACTACCCATTCCACCAGTGAGCTACATGCCCAGGCACATTCTGTTTTTGAGACAGGGTCTCTATATATGTATCCCAAGCTAGTCTTAACTAACGCTGTGACCCAGGGTGGTTTTGAACTCCTGATCTTCCTGCCTCAGCCTCCATTCAGAGTGCTAGGACCACAGGTGTGTACCACCACACCCAGTATAAATATCTGAAACATTCTGAGTATTGGCATGATGCTCAAAACATTTCTAATTTTTTTTTAACCTGTTTGAAATTGCTTAACTGGTAAGCCTATGCAAATACCCAGAATTCCAAAGCAACAACAACAAAACCAAATCCTCAGAAGTCTCAGACACTTTGCTCCTAAGCATCTTGGGTAAGGGATGTCAGCCTGAAAACAAATCACTGTTGCCAGCTGAACATGTGGGCACATGCCACAGGCAGGACCTCGCTGGGCCTTCTGATTATCCTCTGCCCCAGGCAGGCTCACCTCTGTCTCTTCAAAGGTAAGCTGAGGTGCAGAGAGGTACATTCATTAGTCCAGGGCCACGCAGCTGTGGAAGGGTGCAGCCAGGTGTTAGGCCAGGATAGTCTGATGGCGGAGCTGAGCTGCTGCCCCACTGTGCTGTGTGAGTGGGAGCCCCAAGTTCCAGGCCACCTCACTTCTGTCTCCTAACTGCTGATTCTGACTTACACCATTCAACCATGGCCAGAGGGCACGGGCCTCTCAGCTCAATACTGTGATTCGAAAGACAGGCCCAAGGACAGCAAGGACCTGCCTCTAGGCCTGGCCTTCCTACTCACCAGCTCAGTGGCCATAGTGTTGTGGCCTCTACCCCTCCCTGCCTCAGTTTCCCCAGGGGATCATGAATGGCTGGACTAGGGCTCTATGGCCAGCTCTATGAGTCTGCAGATGGCTTCAGAGCTTACACCATGTTGCAGATAGCCATGGCTGAAGGAAGGAGGGCCTCTCTTGTGACACATACAGCCAGCCTGGGCCGGAGCCACTACCAGCTCACTGAACTGTCACTCCAGGCCTCGATGCTTACCTGTGGACTGTAGCAATGGCCAACTCGACAGGCAGAGTACAGGGCAGCATGATGTAAGACAGAATTCTGATGGGCAAGAGGTTGCAGGCTTTGCTCAGGTAGCCGTCTCTGTCCTTAATCGCTTCACTCAGAGCTGAAAAGAGCAATTTGGAACCACAGCTCTGTCTGACTCCTGAGAATAGCGGGATTCAAGCCCCTCTGCCCAATAGGGCTCAGACCAGCTTTGAAAGAGAGGAAGCCTGGAGCCGACAGCCGGGCCGCAGTTCAGAGGGGACACACTGCGGTTTGTGAACCGTTCCTCTCACAGCCAGGGTGGTGCAGAGGTCAAACACCAGCCAAGCCTGGTGGTTCGGGCTTCCAATCCCAGCCCTTGGGAAGCTGAAGCAGGAGGATTTCGAGTTGGAGGCCAGTGTGAGCTACACAGTGAGATAGTCTCGGAGAGAAAAGAAGACATGGAAAAGAGTTCCATCTCTCCCTCCCACCTCCCCACCTCCCCTCTGCCGGCACATGTTTAGGCCTGTGGCTCTCTCATGTTTCCAGATGAGGGTGCACACCGCTTCCCAGCCACCCTTGGCCTCGCTCCTCTCCTCCGCTGCCTCTTGCTTCCTGCAGCCTGACCTTTGATCCCCCTGATGACCTCCTGACACCACCCACAGAACAGCTACTGCCTGAAGGACAGACACAGGGTTCCATTCATGGCTGAGTCTCTCTGGATGGAAGCTGGGCCTGGCTGGAAGCTGTTTGTGGGCTAGTCTGTCTGACTTGGCAGACCGGACCACGGTCACATGCCGCCGCGGTTACTCAGCAACACTCTTATAAACAACAAACGCTGACTCTTCACAGAGTTGGATGCCGGAAGAGGCTAAGTGTTAAGGCGCCAGCAGACACTGGTGTCCGGTGAGGGCCCAGGTCATAGGTAGCACCTCCGTGGGCCGAAATACCGGAGGATATCTACCGGCCCTCTGTACAGCACCCATCTCATTTGGAAGGCCCTGCCCCCAGGAGTTGTCCCAATGCTTGCCTCCCAACACCACATCCCCTTGGGAGCTTGGATTTCAGTGTGAGAATCATTTGTGTTCTTGAGATAGGGTCTCGTGTAGCCCAGGCTGACTCAGAGCTCACTATGTGGCCAAGGCTTGCCTTGAACCCCTGATCCTCCTGGCTTCACCTCCTAAGGTCAATACCACATTAGGCTGTCAGCACAGGAATTTTGAGGGACACAAACATTTAGAACATGTCATTGTCCACTCAGCAGCCAGTGACACAGAATACATCACGTGGAGGTTAAAAAAAAAAAAATGGTGGCTGAAGAACGAGGGAGACAAGGAGAGACAAATGGACAACTGTGACCCCCAAAGGCATTCTGAATGAAGAGTTGGGAGACAGAGGCTGAATCCCAGGTCCTCCCTCATATCTATGGCTCTAATCAGAGCTGGAGCCAGTGGGGAGGCAGCCTGGCAGGGTGGGCCTGGGCCTGGCTGCTGGGCTGGAGCTTGTGTGGGTAACCTGGGCTCAACTGGATCAGCGTTCCTCCTGATCATGACCTCTAGGTACAGGGATGGGTGGCAGTGGCCAGCTTGTGCAGGAGATGGAGATGTCCTTATGGCCTGTCCCCATAATCCCTTTCCCCCTCACACACAGCAAGTGGCCCAGTTGCTTACACTGACCATTGACCGGCACACCTTAGTCTCATCCCGCCCCAGTATAGCAGTACCTGTGCTGAGCTGGGGGGACAAGGTCTCCTGGATGCTCTCATCCCAGGGCACAGCTGTAAGGTACAGGCTGGCTGGTAGCTTGTCCCCCATGTTTTCCGGGCAGAGCGGCGTGGCTTCTGACTCCATCTCCTCTGAGGACAGACTCAGGCCGGGCTGTGGCCCATTACAGATGCCTGCAAAGAACAGGGAGATGCCCATGAGGGTAGAGATGGGAGACAGCTGTCAGCTACCCAGCCACACTCAGCCCCAGGTGGCGGGGGAGGCGAGCCAACACAGCAACTTCATGCCTGCTATAATCCCACACAGGACACATCAAAACTAGACGTGCCGTGTGTGCAGCCGGGCAGATGGGAGTGTGGTCCCTGCCTCGCTCACTCGCTCACTCTCTAGCTGTGTGGGATTCTCTCTGCTTCAGAGTCAAACACTACACCGAACAAATATCTCTTCTCCCACAGGCCGAGCACTTTACAAATCCCAGGCCCTGAACGACAGCCCCGGGGCCATTCAACAGCTACCAGAATCACCAGTTCCACTCGCTGGCTGAGGAGACAAAAGCACAGAGACTCATTCAGAGTCCCATGACCACTACTCGGCAGAGCCAGGACTGGTGACACCCTTCCACCACTCGGCTTCCAAGTACTGAGAGGCAGGCAGGGCCATATCTAATCCTGGTCTGTCTTTCTTCTCCCTCGTGATTTTTTTGTTTCTTTCCCTTGAGTCAAGGTCTCACGATATAGCTCTGGCTGACCTTGATGTTGCAATCCTCCAGCCTCAGCCCCCTAAGCCCTGGGACTGCAGGTCTGGACCAGCAGCCTAACCGAGAAGCAACACCTTGAAGGGTTTTTTTGTTTTTTGTTTTTTTGAAACAAATCAACGTCCTCCAATCCCAAGATGGAGCAGCATTTTGGATAAAGTAGCCAACCCCTTGTGTGTGCGCGTGTCTGTGCATGTGCATGTCTGTGTGCATGTCTGCACCTGTGTGGGGTGCTGGGCACTGCTTCCCCTCACTATACTGCAGCTCACCTCTGGCTTGCTCCACCCTCGATTTGGCAGCCCTCAGTGGCTCCCAAGTCCACACGTCACACTTCCTGTGCCCTCTTTGTCCCTCTTTCAGTGTCCCCACCCTGTGTCACTCCAGCCACACGGGCCTCCTCTCATCACCTCTGGGAGCCACAGGCCTTGACTCCTGCTCCCAAGCTCTCCCACTCATCCAGGGCCCACACTCTCCAGGACATCCTTCTCTTGTTCAGGCCCTGACGATCTCGATCTCATGGGTCAGCCCGAAGCCTAGATCTCCCCGCCAGTTCACCACCGCCCTTCCACATGCCCATCCCGCCTCTTCATGAGGCCGCGGAGGCTGCTTGCCATGGCCCTGCGGCCTTCAGAGTGGATGAACACACATCTGTCCTTACAAAAGGACCATCTCCTGTCTCCACAGATGTGCTTCAAACCCACACATGCCAGGCAAATGTTCTACCAACCCTCTTTTTTTTTCTTCTTCCCTTCCCTTCTCTTCCTTTCTTTTCCTGATGGGCTTGGGTACTGAATCCAGTGCCCTCTCTGTGCTAGGCAAGCACACTGGCACTGAGCTACAGCCCCAGCCCTTTTAGGGAGCCCCTGACTCAAGAACTGTTAAAAAAAAAAATCAGGGTCTCACTAAGTGGCCCAGGGTGGTCTCGAGCTCATTTGGCAACCAGGGTAGGCCTTGAACTGCAATCCTCTGCCTTAGCCTCCTGAGTAGCTGAGATGACAGGTCCACGATACCAGGCCCAGCTGGTGACAAGGGACATGTTTTTTAGGAAGGACCAGCTTTCCTCACTGTGTGACTGTGGGATGTGCCCATGTAAACTAAGGTAGTCATGATATCAAAATACCATTCCACTGTGTGACTACATATACACAGCCCAGCATGGCCTAGGTGAGCTTGGATGACTCAAGTGTAGGGCCTGCTAGGAAGAAGACTCATCCAGTGGGCGGGGCCCCGTCATGGGCTGGGGCCCAGATCCTGATGGCCTCATCCGGAAACTGCTCCCAAACCCTGTCACACCTGAGCCCATTACACTCAAGGCTCACAAAAGAGCTCAAAGAGAAAGAAACAAGCGGCCTGCAGAGGAGGGGCCCTAGGGTGGCGTCAGGCTGCCCAGGTTCAAATCCCAGCCCTCCTCAGAATGGCTGCCCCTGCATCCTCTCCAGCCCGCATCCCATCTATACAAGGGGCAAAGGCTTCCTATCCCAGAGGGCTGAGAAGTGGGCAGAGCGAGACTGTGGGGAAGGCCATGAGAATGGATGACAGAACCGAAGGACTCTGCGGTCACCCCCAGCCTGGACCTACCGTTCTCTGCCAGGAACCGGAAGGCGTCCAGGTACCCTTGAAAGCACAGCTCTCCCATCACCTGTGAGCAAATCAGACAGGTGACCCACAGGGACCATGACTGCCATCTCTCCTGAGGACCAAGGACATCCAAGGCTTTGGAGGAACCCTGATTCGGTTTCCCCAGGTCTCAGCTCCAATGTCCTCTCCACAGAAGCTCTGCCAGCAAGATCTATGTTCCAGGCAGATGGCGCCTGGGGCTAAGCTGTCACTCTAACCAACACGGAACTACCCTACCTGTCCCTGGACATTCATGGCCGAGCATCACGCTTGGTGAGCAACATCAGTACATGCAGCCTAGTTCTCAGGACCCCTGTGGCTACACAGTGGCTGCACTATAACACCAATCAGCAAAGGGAAGCTCTGTGTCTGGTGGCTCCTTACCATGGTACAACTCAGAATCATGTTTAGGAACCAAAGTGAAAAAAAAAAAAAAGTTCTGGGTTAGGGGCGTGGCTCAGCAATGTAGCTCTTGCCCATAATCCACCAGTGAGGGTTGGGGGGGTGTGGCTCAGTGCAGCGCTCCTTGTCTGGCTTCCATCCTCAGCGTCACAAAAGAAGAAACCCCCAAATGTCTGGGGCAGTGCCCCTGATTCATTTAAAAATATTTAGTGTGTGTGTGTGTGTGTGTGTGTGTGTGTGTGTGTACATACGGAGGTCAGAGGACAATTTACCAGAGTTGGTACCTTCTCTTGCCATATGGGTTCCCAGGAATAAATTTAGTCCTCATGCTTGGCAGCAAGCACCTTTACACACTGAGTCATCTTGAGGGCCCACGATCTTTTTGTTTGTTTGTTTGTTTGTTTGTTTGTTTGTTTGTTTGTTTTTGAGGCAGGGTCTCTCTCTGTCTCTCTGTCTCTGTCTCTGTCTCTCTCTCTAGCCCTGGATGTTTTGAAATCCCGTATATAGGCCAACCTGGGCTTAAACTCACAGAGATCCACCTGCTTCTGCCTTCTGAGAGCTGGGATTAAAGGGGCACAGCACCGTGCCTTGGTTGTGTGTGTGCATTTAAGATTTATTTTTTAGTTTTTAATTATTTATACAGGTATGTTCATATGTATACAGAGGCTCACAGAAGCCAGAGGCACTGGAGTTACAGGCGATTGTGAGCCCGATGTGAGTGTTAGGAATCAAATTCAGATCCTCCACAAGAATAGAGTATGCTCTTCACCTCTAAGCCATCTCTCCAGCTTGTTTTGTTCTTAAACATTTTTTTAAACGTAATTTGTGTATTTTATGTGAGTGCTCTGTCTGCTTGTATGCCTGCCAGAAGAGGACATCAGATCCCATTATAGATGGTTGTGAGCTGTTATGTGGTTGCTGGGAATTGAGCTCAGGATCTCCAGAAGAGCAGCCAGTGCTCTTAACTGCTGAGCCATCTCTCCAGCCCTCTTTTTTTTTTTTTTTTAAAAAAAAAAAAAAAAAAAAAAGGAAGGGTCTTTTTAGGTAGCTCAGGCTGATTTCAAGGTCTCCATCCTCCTGCCCCAATTTTCTGGGTGCTGGAATACAGGTATGTACCACCCCTCCTACCCTACTGTGGGTAGTGCCAATTGTCAGCTTGACAGAATCTAGAGTCACATAGGAGATGGGCCTCTGAACATGCCTGTGGGAGTTTATCATGGTGTGTTAATTGGGGTAGGAAGACCCGCCCACTGTGGGTGGCACCACTCCCTGGCTGGGATCCTAGATTTTGTAAGCAGAGAAGGAGAGCAGGGTTGTAGCACATATCCATCACTCTGCTTCCTGACCATGGACTCGATGTGAGCAAGTGCTCTAAGCTCCTGCCACGTGACTTCCCTTGAAACGTGAGCCTGAATAAATCTTTTCAGAAAACTTGCTCTTGTCAGGATATATATAAATATATATATATCACAACAGGAAAAGAAACTTAGACACCATCCCCCAGCCCTGACTTTTTTTTAAAAAAGATTTATTTATTTATTATGTATACAGTGTTCTGTCTGCATGTACACCTGCAGGCCAGAAGAGGGCACCAGATCTCATTACAGATGGTTGTGAGCCACCATGTGGTTGCTGGGAATTGAACTCAGGACCTCTGGAAGAGCAGCTGATGCTCTTAACCATTGAGCCATCTCTCCAGCCCCAGCCCTGACTTTTTAGACCCAGATTCCTGGAAGTGGAGCCTGAACTCTGGGTCAATCCAAGTGACCCCCAGTGGAGCCTGTGGCCAGAGGGATAACCAACCAGCTCTAGGACAGCAACATTTCTGAGTCACTATCATGGCACAGTTTATCCCTGTTTGCTCATGGAGGGACTAACAGGTGTCCCCAGCTATCTGGGAGGCAGACAGCAGCACCCTAGCACCCCACTCACCTTCACATCCGGTGGGAAGAGCGCTCTGCTTAGAAGGTGGAGGTTCCTAGTACAGAGGCGGAGACTGAGGTTGGTGACATTCACCTGGAAGAAGTTGGTAGACTTGACTTTGGGGCAGATGTCATGCTCGCCATAGAAAGGGGACACTGTGATGGTGGTTTTGGCATCCAGCAGGGGGACATTGTCACTCACGCCTCCATCCACGTACCGCTGTAAGGAAGAGGGAATGGATGATACTGTTTTCTGAGACACTGCAGTCCATACGGTGGCCCAGGGACCACTCTTCCTGTGGCTTCTGACTGGCTTTCAAGGTTGCTGTGTGCTGTGGCATAGGATGCCCACTGTGCACGGGTGCCAGGCAGAGAGACACATGGAGATGAGAGTCCACCCCATGTGTGCTTGTCAAGTCCTAAGGCCAGGTAGACACCCATAGGTGAGTCCCTATCATGTGCATAAGGGGGGCATATAAACTAGGGGTGCTATATGTCCTGGGGACAGAGTGTGATATGAACCCTGTCCCCAAAGGAGACACATGGCCACAAGTTCAAATCCAGACCCCCGTTGCTGCTTGGGAGATCTGGGACAAGATATTTAATCCAGCCTGGTTACCTGTAACATTTTTCTTTTGGGGAGGGGGTAGGTTAGCCTTGAACTCATGATCCTCCTGCCTCAGTCTCCTGATTGCTGGGATTATCTATGAAAGTCACCATGCTCATGACCGTCTTACATAGTTAAGGCTGGCCTTGAACTCCTGACCCTCCTTCCTGAGGAAAAGCATTCTAGGAAGTCAGGGGACATCACCAAGATGCTCCTGGGTCCCTTCCACTTAATTCTGGAAAGATCATATGCCTACATCATGTCACAAGAAGACTGGGGACCAGTATCAAGAACCAAGATGTGCTTAGCAGGTAGGGTTCCTGGGCTATGTCCACAAAGGACACACATGTGGTACATATACATACACTCAAAAAACAAACAAACAAACAAACAAACAAACAAAAAGTAGATTGTTTCACTCTTGGTGTGCTGCACTTGCCTTTGAATCCCAGTACTTAGGAGAATTCTAGCCAAAGTTGCATAGTAAGACCCTGTCTAAAAGATTAAAAAAATGAAATACACAGCTAGCCTATAATTCCCCCTGAAAATCAACGACCTTACAAGAGTAATTTAATTCCTAAGCATCTTATACTTTAATTAGGCCACCAGGAGGATCCCCAGGGTGCTCAAGAGCAGATTAAGGGAGCCAGGCCAGTGTATCCAACAGACAGCAGACAGGAAGGTGGAAGACACTCCGGGGATGGGTGTGAGTCTGTGGATCGATCCTATGGGAATGGCTGGTATGGATTCTGTCCTCAACGCTGAAGATCCCAGCTCTGCAGTTAGACACAGTCATGGGCGCCAGAGCCCAGGTCACTGCAGACACTCAACTGTACATCCCCCCATCACCTCCCCCCAACAGGTATACTTACCTCACCCCGGAAGGAAGGAGGGATTAGGCCTGAGAAGAAAGGGATGAAGCAGGAGCACACCAGGGCCTGTGAGGACAGAGACATGACAGTCACAGGGTGCAGCACCTCCCTGTGCCCTTCTGTACTTCCCCAAGTGAAAGGCTCTCTGCACACACTGGGCTTCTGAACACCTGGGTGAATGACCGGCACTCAACACTTGTATCTGAGGCCCTTGGGTACATCAGCACTACTGGCTCCTTAACCATTTGCCTGCACACTCCACTCTTCAGGCCCCCAGGCTGACCACGCAGTTGACTTAGAACCATGCATCTCACACAGGGGCTGGAGGAAGCACAGACCTGGGCCCTCCCTCGGGGTTCTCCTGCGGCCAGTTAGAAGCCATGTGGGCCCAGTGGTCCCGCAGACCACACTTTGAGAATCACTGTGCTGGACAGAACAGTGTCCACTGAGAACAGAGAGGAACTGGCGGTTCAGAAGATACTAGAAATTCAAGTGGAGCTGGACAGTGGTGGCGCACGCCTTTAATCCCAGCACTTAGGAGGCAGAGGCAGGCGGATCTCTGTGAGTTTGAGCCCAGCCTGGGCTACAGAGTGAGTTCCAGGAAAGTCGCAAAGCTACACAGAGAGACTCTGTCTCGAACC